AATATTCATTTATCACACATAAAATTAATTCATGCCTATATTTATTTCTAATATTATTTTGGTGCATTTAATTGCATATTTATTTATTGATTGAAGAGTAAAAATACGTCAAGTTTTTGCAGAGAGCAGGAGAAGGCCAGAATATGATGAAAGCTTTGATGAATTTGCCAACGCTGAAATGAGGAAACTGAAGAGGAAGCAGAGGAATTAGAGCAGCTGGAGGGGAAAAACCTGCCTATATACACTCAGCTGACAGCTGGGTCTCTTTCCTTTCCACCTGATGGTCTGGATGGACTGCAGCCATTTAGAAAACAGAACATGTGGTATGAACTAGGAAGGGGAAGGTGTTGCATTTATTTTCTAGTTCATGGGGTGGACGCCACAATGCAAATGCACAGGGTCAACCTCCCCAATCAAACATAAAAGGGCCTCCCCAGTAAATACCATCTCTATGTTTTGATATCTAGATAGCAGGCCTACAGATGTTAGGAGATACTAACCAAGTCCAGCAGTCTGTAGAGAGTCTCTAAAAGATCATCAGGCATCTTCACTTCTAAACTGGAGGGCAGCAATCGTCTCAACCTCTGGCTTACACTGATTAGAGGACTCCCGTTAACACCTGGAAGGAAAACACATTCACTTTTTAGTGGTTCCAATGAATGGGAATTATGAGGCTCTGGAATAAAGGATTATTTATAGATTCATTGGGGAAAAGGTGACAGTGAGTGTGTTCAAATTCACATATTAACATACTCCTAACTGCATACTCCATCAGTATGTACTGCATTCTGCCTACTAAATAAACAATTAAGTATATTCACACTGGAGTATATTCAAAAATACGTCTCCTCTGTATCACATGGCTGTATCGATCACAACAAGCTCTGACACAGTGCTGTGTAGACCACACATCACAACATTACCAGTCTGAGCTGTTGAATATAAATTACAAAATTTTACATTGCACTGTGTTATATTCTCCAGTATTATTTTTAGGCAAATCAAAGTAAAGGGACAGAAATACGGTAAGGGCTACTGTTTGTGGTTCATGTTTGATTAAAAGAATAAAATTATTTTTACAGCACAGTCCACGGAATGGAAGCACGGCAAAACTTTAGTTTCCTGCTATTATCCACTAACATGACATTCGTGTGTCATCGACCTTAGGATCTAAGGCCTTTAAATTTGGTTAAAAAATTAACTCGGGCAATATTAGCAGCTACTGTTGGTATATTTTACAGAGAAGCAGAGGAAGCTGCTGAGCTTCAGAAGCGACTGCAAGTGAAAAGAGCTAGGGTGAGGAGAAGGAGATAGCTGTGCAGTCATGAATGTTTGATTCAGGGAACAAGCATAAATAAGTAAAAGTAAATGGTAAATGAACTGTACTTGTACAGTGCCTTTCTAATCTTCTGACCACTCAAAAAACTTTACAATATGTGTCACATTCACCCATTTGCGCTGACATTCATACACTTATGGCAGTGGCTATCATGCAAAGTGCTCATCAAAAATGGAAACTAATTAATTCATACACATTAATTTGCCAATGGCACAGCATCAGGAGCAATTTGGGGTTCAGTGTCTGATCAAGAATATGCCGGAGCTGGGGAGCAAACCGCCAACCTTCGAACAACCTTCTTTGAACACACCAAGTGTCCTGGCTTTGACTCCTGTTTGGAAAGCACCCCAATCCTTCTCCCTGCGGGGATATTTTAGAGATCGATTTCTGTGATGCATTCACATTTGCCCTAATGAAATTCTGTACACCAGAATGAATTTATAAATTCCATTTAATTTAACAACTTGAGTTCAGACCTCTCATTTAGGACAGTAAGGGTACAGATAGGTGTATCAGGTTTATAAATTCACAGATTATGGGCAGAGCCGACAGTCTGAGGATCAACCTAACCATCCACTTTGATCTGATGTAGCATACTGTGCTAACAGCAGACTTGCCTTCAGCCCTACAGTGATGGGATTTCAGAATGTTGGCCTCGGCCAGCAGCAGGAAGTGCTCGCTTCGTTTCCTCAGCTGCTGTTCAAAGGCGATGCGAAAAGCATCTGCAACCATTACTGCCTCCTCTCTCCTCGAACGCTGAGTATCAAGCTGGAAAACACGGACACACATGTCTTAATATATTTTACAGTCTTTCAAACTCATGTTTTTAGAGAGAGTTACTATAAAAAAAATATTAGTTGAAAGAGCAGTCAGTAGAGGAAGATTATTCATCTTCATAAAGATAGGGCACTTAGTAAACCAAGTAACCCCTTGAAGGGGTTAAATGTACTTTACCTCCTGTTGTAGCTGGATAAGCTGCTTCCTGCTGGCAGCAGCAGTCCGACTGCATGGACAAGCTTCAGTGATACCAAGACACCGACAGGCCCCCAACACTGCCATCTGACAGACACAGAGAAGATCAGTCAACTCCTGAGAAGTACAAGTTACTTATAAATGATACTTCAAGGTTCAGTGTGTAACATTTAGAATTATCTATTGGAAGAAATGGAATATAATATTCATAGGTATTATTATATCATCAGTGTCATCTTTCTTAGTTAAATAAAGAAACGCTTCGTAACATCGCAGCATAGACACATGAGTTTGATGTCATTGTTTTGCAATGCAAACTATCAGAAACACATCAATCAATAAAAGGAACTGATAAGCTTGGAACCAATTCTCAATTTCCACCCCTATGTGTAATTGAATAGGAAATTGAATGAGAAGTTTTTATCTACAGCGGGAGAGGGTCCTCTTCCACAGAGTCCGCCATGTTGAACTGCCATGTTTCTAGAGTAGCCCAGAAAAGACAATCTAAACACTGGCTTAAATAGGGCCTTTTACATTTTTCGCAACCACCATAGTTTCTCCTCCGCACTTGGAAGGAGAGCTGTATTCAATTGGTTGCAATCTGAAACTTCACTGTTAGATGACTCTAAATCCTACACACTAAACATTGTATTTACACAAAGTGAAACACAAAGTGGAAAGTTAGTTTACTGTGAGGAGATATACATAAATTTTGCTAAGATGTTAACATAACCCCCTAAAAAAAAATGAGAAAGAAAAGGCTTTATTATCAGGGCCCCATACCCATAGGGGGTCCCAAAACCTGTGACGCAAGAAAAACTACTACTATGTGTAGATCTCAACTCCTTCACTTCACTTTCCCCTTCCAAACACAAGGGAGAAATTACGATGGTCATGAAATGAGTGAAAAATGTGAATACATATCTAGCCACTCCTGGGCTACGGTAGAAACATGGTGGTTCAACATGGCGGCCACTAGAGATCAGCGACAACACCATTATCTGTATGTGTATCTGTTCAACCAAATAATTATCTTTATGTGTATCTGTACTGTGAGAGGGCAGGAATTAAACCAGAGGCAGGCAGCGTTTTAACCATTAGTGGGCGTGGGTAACAAGAAGTTCCTTTAAGCCTGAAATTGATATGGGCTGATCAGAAGTTGCTCTATTTATTAGAAAATTATTTACAGAACAGCCTTAGAATTCAGCTTGATAGCAATGTTTTGGATTTTATTTTTAAATAAAAGTTGTATATTGACACATTTTACTTCCTTGATATTTCTAAAAAGTACATCATTTGTACTGGACACTTGTTTCAGCGAAATACTTGCTCAACCCTAGCTGAATCCTAAAAGTTACACACTGGACAACACACACCTGTAATATTACCTCCTAGTGATCTTGAGGTCCTGTTTTGTAGAGGGGTTGAAACCCTAGTTTTAAGGGCTTTGTTATTTCAGTTAATATTGTGCCTAAACAATGATTATTCCAAAATGGTGGCTCAAAAGGGTACAGCTTATCTTTGCTCCATGGCCCCTTGTGGTATATATGTATCCAGCTAAATGTGCAGGTGACAGTTGACAGGTGACATTCTGTGAGGTAACTGAACTGAATGTAAAGCCTTTGTCTTATTCTTGACTTAATTCTCATGGCTAAATATAAATATACAGCAGGTAAAATAAGTATTGAAGACATCACCATTATTCTTAGTAAATATATTTCTAAAAGTACTATTTACATGAACAACCCATGCAATCCACACATGCAAAATCAAACCATTATGTGTAATGTGAAATGACACAGGGAAAAAGTATTGAACACATGACGAAAGGGAGGTGCAAAAAGGCATGGAAAGCCAAGACACCAGCTGAAATCTATCAGTAATTAGAAAGCAATCCTGCCACTTGTCAGTGCTGGTTCAGTCCA